TCGATGTCATCCTCGTTGTTGTTTTCGCCATCGCCGCTCCGATCCCCACCAATGATTTCTACCAACCCGGCGCCGGTGCGCACATTGTTGTTGTTGTCTGTAGTGGGAGTATCCTTGGTTGTGGTCTGTTGATCAACGTCGTCGTCGTAGTTGTAGTCGTCGTCGATGTCATCCTTGTTGTTCAACCAGTTTAGGCCGTCGTCGTCGTCGTCGTCGCCGTCGTCCCCGCGCTCGCCGGACATGAAGGCCGACCAGATCAGGCCTGCCCCGTGCAAGCCTACCATAACGGTGGATTCCGATGCCATGCGAATGGACTCCGTCGTCGACAGGGACCCAAACTCGACGCTCGTGATCTCGTATTCGTTTGCGCGTGTTGTCGTTTTGTCGTTGTCGTACAGTGCCTCGAGGAGGGCTTCCAGAAACTCGGTCTCGCGCATGAGCACCCGTTTTGGGAACCAGATGCCTCCGTCCCGGCAGCAATAGGGCCGTCTCGAGGACCACAAGATTTTTACGAGGCGCGGTGGTTGCTTGGAAAGGGGTGCTCCCTCGGGTTCGGTTGTCCTTGCGGTAGCCGCTACAGCAGCGGCAGCGGTTGCAAATGCGGTTTCGGTCGAGCCTTCGGTTGGTGTGGATCTGTCTGATTCACCAGAATGGTTTCCGGCGCGACGAGAAAATACCTCAACCTTCTTGTTGCCAATGCCGTTCTGTTTTCCGCGATTGCCGTCGATCGCTTTCGTTGCCTTCGCATTGGTGGCCAGGAATGTCTTCGTCTCGATCCACGCCATGACCCCGCGAAAGAGGGAACTCATACAATGGTGCTCCGTCGCCCGACCGCGGATCCCGGATGCCTTGCTTTTGGTGTTGACCATGGAAAGGCCGGCGTTGGGCGCCTCGATGATCTCGCGGAATCGGTAGATGGTGTTTTTGTCGTGGGCGGTGACATTGGCATTGGCATTCTCGGGAATTCCCACGTCCTTGCCCCAGGGTATGTAGATCGGCTCGAGGTCAGAGAAGAGGCGCCAGAAGTCCCGGTCGCCCTCGTCGTAGATAAATTTGCTTTCTGGCTTGCCCAGCATCACAATTTGGGGGTTGCGGACATCGAACATGAGCATGATCATGGCAGCGTTGGCGTAGGCATGAAAGCGCTCGTATGCGTTGAAGGGGTCGAAGACCAACGTCCGGATGAGCGTCGCGTCCACGTCGATATACGTGGTGTTGGTGCCGTTAGCACTGCTGCCGGTGGTGGCCAGGCCCGCAGGGTAGCTTTCCGCATTGTCCACCGGAAAGCACAGGGCGGTCGACGGAATATCGGAGTGCCGCGGCGGCCCGCTGGGGATTCGAGCGGTTGCGTTTTCGTACCGGAAAATCACGGGCTCTTCCTCCCACCGATCGAGAACGTACTTGTGGACGACCGGGCTCTGTTGGGAAGTAGTGTTGCTGCGACAGGTGGCGTCCATCTTGTGCTCTTTCCAATCCTCGACGACCTTGAAGGAGGTGTCAAGCTCGCAGGCTTCCTCGTTTTCGCCGGGATCGTTCGACGACGAACTATCTCGCTCGACAAAGGCCGTGACGAATTCTAGCAGCGACAGTGGCTCGTAGCTGCGGTAGCTCGGCGGTTGCGCGTTTGGTTCTCCTTCTCGTTGTTGTTTTTGTTGTTCTGCCACGGCATCTCGCGATGCATTTGACATGGTGGTTGGAAACACGCGTTGTTGTTCTTGTTCTTGTTGTTCGGCCATGACATCTCGCGATGCATTTGACATTGTGGTCGGAAACTCGCCCACCGCGTCGTCTTTCGCGGTGCCGACCACTTTTGGCAGCCATTTCCACAAAACTCGTGCCTGGGCCACCAGCGAAAGGGACAGCATCCCATAGAAGAAACATCGGAGGATAGCGCCTCTTCTCTGAAATTGTCTTCGCTTGCTCCAGGGCACTCGCTTCGATTTAAGCGGTCGCAACCTCGGCATGACAGCGTGGACTCGTGGTTAAAGTCCGGTCTAGTTTTCTGCGAGCCTCGTTGCTCGTGGTGTTAAGCTTTGCTCTTGTGTTGTGTTTTGGGATGGCTCACCCGGCCCTTGCAGTTCGATGCCAGGTACGATGCCAGTTATTTGGATATTATTTGGATATTTAACCGTTGTTGCTCATAACCTGCAAAATGTACGTATGCTCTCTCAGGGGTCATAATTTAGGAGGGGTGCGCAACGCGTCGAAATCGATATTCCATCCTTGGTACCAATAAGAAAAATTTCCCAAAAAGATTTTTTTTTCATCTCATTTTTACTGCATAACTCTGCATAAAGTATACCTGAAAGACCTCATGCACAGGAACACTTCCAATCACTCTCTGATTTTCAAACTTCATATGCACATCTCTCATACAGTTGA